ACAATGTGTTCCTGGCTTCAGTCATCCCAGTAGTCTCTTGACCAGAGACTCAGGCACTCCGACCCACATGCCCCTGCTCCTCCTCACCCCACCCTCTTATCCTACTTCAGTTCTATTGCTCTTCCCCCCCGCCCCAAAGAAAGCACCATGGTCAAAAGCAACTTGAGGGAAAAGGGGGTTGAGTTTGCCTTACTGCTTACAGTCCTTTGTGAAGGGAAGTCAGGACAGGAGTCTGGGGGCAGGATCCAAAGCAGAGATCATGGACCTTTGTTTTACTGGCTTGTTCACTATGATTTGTTCAGCCTGCTTTTTTAAGTACCACAAACCACCTGCCCAAGGATGAGAACATCCACATTGAGCTGGATCTCCCCATAAATCATTAATCAGGAAGATGCACTACAGATGTGCCTACTGAGCATCTGATGGAGGCATTTCCACAGTTGAGGTGCCTCTTTCCAGATAACGCTTGCTTATGTTTAGTTGACAAAGAAACAGCCAGGACGCTGCTGGTCCCTGCCTTGTCTCTGTTTCTATTACTATACCTTTCGTAGATTCCACAGGAAATTGAGACTGCATGCAGTTTCTAGTTTGTCTTCCCGTGCCGAGCTTGTCGCACTCAGCCTGGTGTCCCCAGGGTCACTCTTATTACAGTGTCAGGATGCCTTTCTTTCTGTCAGTCACTCAGACCCAGAATATGCACCAAAGCTGCCTATGGAGCTTGTGTAGAAAAGGGGACACAGTCCTCCCCATCCCCAAGTCACCGTGAGTCACAGTCCTTGTGTGGGTAAACAGCACTCACACACACACACACACACACACACACACACACACACACATCTCACAAGTTTGCACACTGTCTCTCACTGCTCACATGTGGTGACAAGAGAACAGAGGCCTCCAAGCAACCTGTAGAACATTGGCCTCTACCACCCAAGCCAATAAGAGGTTTCCCACTAGACTCGCCCTGAAGGCAGTCTGCACAAATGAACAACACTGCAGATGGTTTTTGTCAGCAACAAAGAAACCAGCCTGTGTTCCACCAGCTGAGCTGGACATATCCTCCTCCTGCATCTTACAGAGAAAGCTGGTGTCCTCAAATGTGTGTGTGTGTGTGTGTGTGTGTGTGTGTGTGTGTGTGTGTGTACTGAAACTGTGCCCCCAAAAGAGCAAGGAAAGTGAGAGAAAAACAGATCTTCCTGCTTCCCAAGGTATTGTTCTTGCTTAGAAAGGTGAGCTGTTCATTTTGTTCCAAGCAAAGGGTTCACGGACTGGATCCTCTTGATAAAACGGGGATTCTTCCCCTATCTTCAGGTCTCTGTTCCCAAAGTACTTCTGGCCTCTGCAGTTACACAAATGCCTCATTGGGTGAGGGATGCTGTGGAAAGTGTTTGAAGAAGATTCGGAAGATGCTACGCCGTCAGGGCTCCATCTGCCCCATATTTCCCTCTTAGTGGCTTACACTCAACTATTTGCTTCAAGAGCAGGCACCACACAGAAACATGAAAGACAAAGAAACAAAAACCACCAAAGACCAGTGTGCCAAAGGGCAAGAGGGTAGAGGGAGCGGTAAACTCTGCCAAATGAAAGAATTCACTGCCCTTTCCGCAGAGAACATCCATTGCCTGTAGTTCAGCAGGAGTGTGCAGACTAACCCTCCTCGCAACACTAGGACTGTTTCATGGCATTAATGCTCTCTGAGCTTGACCTCACCGCTCCCTGGCACTTGGTGATGGAATTGACAGAGAGTCCATCCTCTTTGTCTGGGTGGGACCCTCCTGGGCTGTGCTGCTCAGGCTAAAGTACCACTTCCTAGTAGGCTGAGAACCGGTCTGGAGGTGAGATGTGCACAGTGAGATGGAGGAGGGAGAGGAAGAGAGTTTGTACGAGACTGGAACTCTGTCATCCCAAAGATCTAGGGAGGTTACTCTGGGTTCAGCCGGAAGGAGCAGAGGTGTCATCTCTGAAGGGCTTTGCTGTGACCGGACTTGTCTCTTTGTTGGCAATGTCTCTGTGTGGCCAGCCACCGTTCTACTAGATTTGCCTGGTCTGGCTCTTTAGTGGATATCCTGAAACAGAAGCCAGCTATGAGGAACCCTGGCCGCCTCCCCTGACTCTGGTCCTCCTTCTGCCCCAGCTCTGCCCTGCTAGGCCACAGTGACTGCCAAAATTGGTCCTTTCCCTTCTGGCCCTGCAGTGCATTCTGTTTAGGTGACTGTGTTTCCCAGAGACCATCTACAGAGGCTCATTACTCACTGCACCTTGTGAGCTCTCCTGCATCAGGTGATGCGGCGTAAAGTCATTTTTGAACCACCTTGTTCCAATCTTGCACATTAAAGTCACTCCCTCTGCTGCTGAAGACCTGGAAAATTACAAGCCCTGAAGCCTGGCCTGTGCTTTCCTGCTCCTCCTCCCCCTCTTCCCCTCTCCCTCACTCACCTCTGTGTCCTCACGGGCACTGGAAATGCCCTAGGGAGCTGGACAGGCACTGTGAGACGCCAACACAACTGGAGTAGGGGTCAGAGACTGCACTGAGCGCTTTCATTTCACAGATGGGGACTTAAAAATAGAGGGACAGGTTATGGCTTGAACCTTTAAACTCCCTCTGACTGGCTCTGTGCTCAGGCCCAGGCTGACCTGAATGGGAAAAGTCACCTTGACACAGGTTTGCAAGTCTGAGAATCCAGAGTAGGCTGGAATCCCTGGCACGCTGTAGGGAATCAACACGGGCTGCAGAAGCCTGTGGGAAGGTGCTCTGGAGGACAGGGCAGAAGTGTGTGACAGGATAATGATCCTTGGTGAGGCTCATAAATTCCTCCAGTATGACCCTTACTCCTGTCATCAGTCCAGGGAGGAGAAGGCAGAGAAAATCTGCACCATCAGAGGCCCCTCAGGATGCAGCCAGCTCTCGGAGAGACTAACGAGTCCTCTGACTGGGCTGTGAGATGTGTCCTCAGTGGCAGTACAGCTAGCGCTGGTGAACTCTGGGTCCTCCCAATAAACTTCACCCCCACAGTCTGCTCTCCATCTGCAGGCCTGAGACGGGTGCAGGGCCAGTCCTTCTAGTGCATCTTCCCCTCCATGCCTTTGCCTGTAGCTCTTAACTATTTCCATTTCCTCTGTTCTCAGCTGAGCACACACATGAATTGTCTCCTTCTGAGTGTCTTTAGATTCCTGAGTTGAATCACTACCTCTCCAGGGACAAAGAGCAGGTTGTGGTGCCAGTGGCCTCCTGAGTGGACCCCACCTGTACCATTGCGGGAGTCATCACTTTAGAGACGATCTAGAGGGACCTCTTACTACTTTGAGTCTGATTCTGTACCAGCGAGGATCCTGGGGGTTGCTGATTCCCAGCTTCTGGCTTGTAGTACTTGGACAGTATCTTCTCTAGATGCGTTAAAAACACAGAAGACGCCAGGGGAGGGGAGGTACTTCATCATCCCAGCACTTTGGAGGTGGAGGCAGGAGAGTCACCAGTTAAAGACTAATCCTAACTATGTAGGCAAGGCTTTATCCCAGAAGTAAAACAACTGGGGAAAGGCTTTTTTCTCCCTAACCCTACCAAGTTTTTTCTCTCTAAGTCTGGTGACTAGAAATGCCTGTGTTAGAAGAGATATTGGACACTTCTGATTGGACTCCCACCTCCATCTCTGCCCTTTCTAGGATGGGTCCATATTGCTTTAGAGCCACCCAGCAAAACTGAGACGGTTTAAGGCTGAGGCACGTGCGTGGCCTGAGGACACTTCCTCCTTCCTCCTCTGTGGTAGAGGACATGTGGCCACACAGGTCTCCACCTCCCATATATATTCACCTGTTGTCTAAAACTGAACCTCCCCGTAGCTTCCTTTCTCCTTTCTCTCCCCCCCACAGCCTGTCTTCATGAACGTGCCACAGCATGAACTGGTTTCCTCTGGCGTCCTTTGTAAAATCATATTGATATGATGATCTGCCTGACTAGGGGGTTGGCTCTGTAAAAGGGACCTGAGTTCAATCCTAAGAATCCATATAGAAAAAAAAAATCTGAGTGTAGCTGGGCATGATGGTGCATACCTTTAAACCCAACATTCAGGGCAGAGGCCAGTGAGTCTTTGTGAACTGGAGGCCAGACTAGTCTACATAGTGAGTTCAGGCCAGCCAGGGCTAACTAGTGGAACTCTGTCTCAAAAAAATAAATAAATAAAAATAGAGAAAGAAAGAGAGAGAGAGAGAGAGAGAGAGAGAGAGAGAGAGAGAGAGAAAAGAAAGAAAGAAAGAGTGAAACAAAACAAACAAAAGCCAAGCAAGCCTAGTGGCTTGTGCTTACAATCCCAGAAAAGTAGAAATGGGAGGGGCCCGGGGTTTGCTGGCCAGCTAGCCTAGCCTACATGGTGACCTCCCGGGCCAATGAGAGACCCTGTCTCAAAAAAACAAGGTGAGCAGCATCTAAAGAACATGTGAGGTTCTGCACTGGTGTCCATATACACCACACAGCATATGCACATGTGTGCCTGTAACACACATACTCAAACATACACATACACACACGCATCTACAGCTATAAAATAGTCCAACTCAAAAGCACTCATTAGCAGAGAAAGGGCTTTGTAATATGCATCAAATATTATCAAGAAAGGTAGGAAATTGAATGAGATAATTAAAATCCAGTGATTACCCAGTTAAGGAAAAGAAACAAAAACAAAGTACTCCTTAGGCCCAGGGATCAAATTGATACTAAAGTCAGTTCCATGCAACCAGTGTGTGTTTGGTTGAACTTTGGTTCACCCATGTCAGGCTTCAGTGTGGGTGTCAGACACTTCTGAGCCCCATGAGAGAAAACAAGCTGAAAAAGTTTAGAAAAAAAGTAGACTCACAGGCCCAAGGTTTCACTTGTCCCTGACCAGCTCCCAGGAGCAGCCTCTGCAGCCCACTGCAATCCTGCAGCCCTGAAGTCCCCTGCAACCCTACAGCCCCCATCTCCCCAGCATCAGCTTCTACTCACCATTTTCTGCTTTATTTTCCCACAGAGGAGATTTTGAAGAGCCACATCGCGCATTGGTGGTCACCAGATGGCACGAGGCTCGCCTATGCTACCATCAATGACTCTCGGGTTCCTGTTATGGAGCTGCCGACGTACACAGGCTCTGTCTACCCCACTGTGAAGCCCTACCACTACCCTAAGGTAGGCAAAGAGCAGGTTCAGTCAACCCGAGTCATTCATGAGCTCGTTCGGCCACTGCTTCCTTGTGTAGAGGTCCTATAACCCGACGTCTTTGCCAGCTGCCCAGTAAACACTCTTGTCGCATTAAAGTCCCATCTTTGTTGAGTTTGTTGGCAGGTTTGCTTTATTTTAAATAACTGAATGACCATTGATTATTTGTCTAAGGTCCTTATAAGCAAAATAAATACATCACCCCATTCAATGACTCCAGGTGACTAAAAGTCTGCACTTCTGGCTCCCTGTGGGATGCAACTTCTGGTATGTTAGAAGGACTTCTCTCTGTTCTGGCTTCCTGGGCCATGAAGAGGCTAAACTATCCACAGTCACTGCTGGTCTGAGAACTTGTGTTCCCCAATATCCATATGTTGAAACCCCCAAGGTGGTGGGGCTCGTGAGAGGTGATCCAGGCTATGGTTGAGGAGCCCTGTGATTGAGGTTAGGACCGTATGAAGGAGCCAGAGAACTCTCTCTTCCATTCCAGCCATGTGAGGAGCCACGGAACAGACTTTATCTATGAGGCCCAGACCCTCACCAGACAGGAAATCAACAAGCACCTTGATCTTGGCCTCTCAGCTCCAAAGCTGTGAGGCTTACATTCCTGTTGTTTATAAGTCACCAAGTCTTTGATATTTTGTTATAGTGACCAAAGTAGACAGAGACAGGACTGAGCCAGCAGAGCAGCAGGGAAGGGCATAGGAAAGTGAGAGGGGCCTCCAAACCTCAACCCTGCATCATGTCACAGCATCCACGCACAGGGCAGATCCTGGTACAGAGACGTCCGTGCCTCCCTCCCTTGGAGGCTGGCAACTAGGAGCATGGATGCAGTTCCTGCTCCTAAGCTGCACACAGCTAGCTAACCCTGCACACAGCTAGCTAACCCTGCACA